TATAGGTTAATTATTTGGTGTTTCTATTATTTCATTATTTTTTCTACTAAAATATACATTTTCGACGGATTGAAACTACTTAATTTGTATATATTTTTATATACATTTTTAACCATCACTATATTATATTTATTTACTATTTATAACGATATTGTGCGACCTATGCGAACGCACAAGTAGATGACTACTTAATTATTTCATTTATTTTCTACTAAAATATACATTTTCCGACAGGCTGAGACTACTTAATTTGTTTTATCTTTTTATATACATTTTCTTAACCATCACTATACTATATTTATTTACTATTTTATAATGATATTGCACAAACCCGTGCGAACACACGGGTAGATGGCTACTTAATTATTTCATTTATATTTTTTACTAAAATATACATTTTCGATGGGCTGAGACTACTTAATTTGTATATCTTTTATATAAATTTCTTAACCATCGCTATACTATATTTACTTACTATTTATAACGACATTGTGCGACTTGTGCGAATATGCGGGTCTCTTACTAGTTGCTCTTAAAAGATTCATTTTATCCATTCTTTTTACGATGTCATGTATCCATTTTAAGGTTAATGTTTGTTAAATTTTTTACTTTCTCAACCAAAATATATATCTATAATATAAAGAAGATTCACTGCCTTGGAAAGTTCTATTTTTCCTTTTCATTTTGAAATGTCATTTGCCCATTTTAGGATTAATGTTGGTCCAACCAAATGTCATATTTTGTTTATGTTCCAACCCATTCCTCTATTCAATTCCACCTTTTTCATCTCTTCCATACCCAATTTTTTGATCGAACATAAGTTAACACGTGGAAAACCAACTATTTATCCAATTAGCACTAAAACTTTTCTCAATCATCTCAATTTTGGAAATCAGCACATTGCTTATCACATCTCATTCCATGTATTGCAGTAAAAATTGTGGAACCTTGTTTTACAGGTAATTCTCTTTTGATGATGACAACTACAAAGTAAAATACTAAGAAGACTTCATCATGATAAGAGAGTACAACAAAGGATAAGTCAAAAAACACTTGAGCAGCTAAAGATGCAAATCATGAATATAAAGGATTTGATGAAACTCGATTATTCAAAGAAGAAGGAAAACCAATAGAAATTATCTAAAGTCTTCAGAGATCTCAAACAGTTGTTCAACACAGAATATGATATCTGGAAAAAAGCTTGTAGAAAGAGTTAGATTCCTAATTTAGTAAGTGAGTGACCTTTTGTAAAAGCAAATGAACTTTCTCGTAAAAGTATATGGTTATAAAGCACACACACTAAAACTTTTTTTCAAACTTCTTAACAAAGATAAAACATTTTTAAAAGTATCCTTAAGTTGTACCAAATGACTTAGGAGCTGTGGAAATAGCTAAAGAGAAATATTTGACTAATTTAGACCTTTATGTCAATCAATTAGAACAGTTCAAACGTAAGCCCCAAATTATTTAGACAACGCATTAATGAAGTACAATGGCTAATAATATCATTTTTCCTTTTAAATGAACAACAACAACTATATTTTGAATATCTAACCAATTAGATCAAAAGTCCAATCGATTAGACAACGATCAAATTCATTGAATGAGATTTTCATTTTGGGAATTCTTCTTGCCTATATATATAAAGGCCTCATTTCTTGTTTCAAATCATCCAAAACACGGTTTGTGTATTGAAACTCACACACACACTCTCTCTCTCTCTCTAAATTTTATTTTTTTACTTTCTCTCACTAGTTCTTAGAGCCAAATACTTTTGTGAGGAAAGTTCCATTTGTGAGTGAGATGTTCATTGTAATTCTTGAAGGGTACAAGTTCACCAAGGATGTTGTTTGTGCACCTTGGATGAATATTGTCCATTTAAGAATTATTTATGTGGTTCTAAGTTAAACTCGTTAAAAGTTTATGATTTGGGATTGTGTGATCAGTTCCTACTAGTTTATATATATATATATATATATATATATATATATATATATATATATATATATATATATATATATATATATATATATATATATATATATATATATATATATATATATATATATATATATATATATATATATATATATATTGAAGATCATCTAACTTTGAAGATCTTACCATTAGTTCATGGTTAGTCTGGTTAAAATCTCAAGAGGTTATTTGATAATCATGTTAAATTAATTGAGCTCGGATATATTTTAGAACTTGAAGACTAACCGCTACAAGGTCCATGGTCGTGGAGAGAAGAATAATTGCTTCAATCTACAGTTGGGAAGGAAGCTTGGCCACTTCAATATCAGCAACTTATTGGAAAAGACACAAATGTCCACATCTATTGTCTTGTATTATTATGGTTGAAGGAAAACCACAATTTCCTTGTATAAGGGGGTCCGTGAGTCTTTCTTACTAAAAACTATCAAGTATTATTAGAAACTTTGAAGACTAAGTTTTGGGAAAAAGAATATGTCCTTTTTTTTATTTTTGACCAGGCCTATGTAGTTATTGGTGTCTTTATTTTTCTTTTAAACTTTTTTATTTTTGCACTTTAAAATATTTTTTCGCTGCTTAGACTTAGAAAATAATTTCAATCTCTGATTAAATTGCCAAAAAATTTCAAAACTCCTATTTTTCCAAACTACACAATTCATCCCCCTATTTTTTTGTATGAAGTATCCAATCCAATAAGTGGCATCGGGGCCTAACTCTTGTTTAAAGGACTAATCGTCTCAGGAGGAATATGACTTCTAACATAAGTTCTATTTTTTTAACTCACCACCGCCTTTTTTTTAAATAATGATCCTTCACTCATTTAAATTTAAATTTAAATTTTTTTCTTCTTGAAAACAATAGTTGGTGGTCCGGTTGACCATACTCACCAAAATTATGATTGAGGAAAAACCCTTTTTGACCAAAAGAAAAAAAGAAAGATTGAAATAGATTTTTTTTTTAAAAACCAAAAGCTTTATGAAAATATTTTTGAATGACATGAACTCTTCATCATTCAATCACCGAGGAAATGTGGGAGCTTTTGAAACAAAATTTGAAGTTTCTTCAAATATTCAACAAGAGAAAATGAACACATGAGGCAAAAAAGAAAATAGATACTAGCTTTAAATGTTTTCTAAACCAAGTTATATAAAATTATTTTCTAATAAACATCTAAAGAATTGAGATTTGAAAATCCAACTCTTTAATCTATAGATGAAAACTTTCATAGATTTCATGGAAAATCACAAAGAAGTTGAAAGAGTTGAATCATAGATGAGAAAATCCAAACAAAAAAATTATTCTCTTCATCTTGCTCATATCAAACCCAATTTAATCCTTCAAAAGATAATACTCAACCATTGAAAGATCAATAACAAACGAAGGATCCTCTTGTTCAAAGAACGATAAAGAAGATGAAGAAGTTTCTTCAACAATAGGAGAGGAAATAAACATCAACCTTGGGAAGAATCATGAAGGAATCATCTTCAAACAAAGAAAAAGAAATATGCACAAAGGCACCCAACGGGGAAGATGAGATCTTGGGATCAGAAAAACAGAAATCTCATAAAAGGGAAGTTTCTAATTCTTACTATACACTGAAGGAAAAATCCTTATTTGTTTGTTTTGCATGATTGATTTATAACTATGAGACTAAGTAATCATCTACAAAGCATCTGCATTGAAGTCTTTGATCTTGAAGATGAACAATGATGACAAATGTCAACCATTATGATCAAAATAAAATATTTGAGAGAAATCTCAAGTTTAGATGATAAAAAATGATCAATTGAATAAAAGGTCTGTAATGGACTCATTTATTCTATTGTTTACAAAACCTCACATCCAACAATGTGATGAGAAATATACACCGTGAAGCGTTCATTCCACGTGAGAAATATTTATCAAGAATTATTTCTTGAAAAAGGTAGAAATTATTTTAAGGTTGAAATAATTAGCTAAATTTACGTAACCCCTTAAAATAATTATTTTTACTTTATTTATGCTGTGATAATTTTTTTTTCATCTCAAACCTATAAAATAAGTTTGTTCAAGCATTTTTAGCAAAAGGTACTAAAAAAACAAGAATTAGAGGTGCAAATAAAGAGAAATATGGGTTACATAAAGATGGAGAAACAAATACAAGGCCCATCTAGTGCAAATATGCTAAAAAGGAAAAAAACTAATCGATTAACATATTATGCTAACTGATTAGAAACAATACAAAAATATATTTTCAGAACAAATCAAAGACTATCTTGGGCGCCAAACAAAAAGAATCTCAACAATAATGAAGATTTCTTCTAGAACAGAAAAATTAAAAATCTAATCGATTAAGAGGATCAGAAAAGGCAAGTTTTGATATGATTTT